ATAAATCACGTGTACCAATAACAATGCGAGTTATTTTTAGTCGGAAATTTTTTTGGGGGGGTCGCTGTGTTACTTATGTAGCCCCACCCGATTTGGAGATAACAAAAATAACCGATAGCATTGCGTATTTTCGGAAATTTCTACTGTAATAAAGATTAAAGTTAAAGAATGGTTTTAAGATTAGGGTTAGGGATGCTGTCTTCCCGACATTTTTTATTAGTACTCCGGACCAGATTTAGACATTTGTTTCTTGTATTTTTCACATTTCTCGCGTTTTTCATTTTTTTGTGTCGGTTTGTTTTGCTGTTTTTATCATAACCAAATCGGGCAGATGTACTCTAAAAATAGAACACTTGATAAATATAATCAAAAGCCTTATTAGACCATCCACTGGATTGTTTTGTTGATACATTAGATTTTTCCTTGCATATTTCGACAACTTCATGCTGTTTTTGATGAGGTAACACATATATCCAGAAGAAACACCATTATTGAAGATTGAAAGCTACATTTTCGGACTCTAAATAACAATCACACATGTGTGTAAAGATTATCTTTGAGTCTTCCCCATTCATGTACACTCATAAAAAGCCCACGTGCTTTCTTAACTACAATAGGGAAATTCTTTACGTTGAGGTCGCTATATACTGATTTATTTGGATGTTTTACAACGAGTCCTGCAGCAAATAAATCCCCAAAACTTATACGAGAAAAAGCGAAAGAAATTCGGGGTCAAATTGTCAAACTAATCTGCGAACTGCAAAATTTAACGTTAATATGAATCATGATGAAAAACGGATTTGGTGAAAATTTTGGCCAAAATGATGCAGATCATGGTGATCATTTGGCCAGAATTATCGATAATTTCTTATAATAAAAGAGCAATATATTTATATTGCTAAATACTATGTAAATTTATGAGTATAATTGTCATTCATAGTTTATTATAATAGACATTGCAAATTTTCACCATAATTCGTTTTCCATCATGATCCCCCACATTAATTACTTATCGGCTTTAGTAAGATTCATGTTTTTACAAGATCGTGATGGAATATCAGAATATTAATATTCAATCCTGTAACATTAGATCTATATCTACATAGTTACTCCATTCATACCTTTTCCAACTATATAGGGATTTGACTTTTATACTCGTGATGTCACGATTTTGTTTGAAAGTTAAATTAGGCTTAGGAATTACACCGCATCAAATGACAGAATACATATACGTATTGAGGTTGTGTAATCGATGACTGATTATTTGAAATCTTTTCACTCGCATGTAGTTTATTTATTTTCAATTTGTATTTTGTACAAAGTTTCATGCAATAATGTAGGGGACTCGATCGAGTTTTATCACTAACTGGATTGTTCCAACAATACTAAGAAAAGGATAATGATGAGAATGGATGAGAGAATAGAGTAATAATGATAATGGATGTCAGTTATCTGCATTGCATATATTTTCTAGATCATGGAAAAAAATATTGTACGTAATTCTGATTGTATATTGATTCAAAATATGCAAGAATCGTCATATGCAGGAAGGAAATCATATTAATGCAAGAAAGGAAAAGTGTATTGGAAAAAAGATACGAATATAGATTTATTCGCCAAAAATATGAATTTTAAAAGATGAAGTTCGAATGGTAAAGAGATCGATTTTTACTTAAAATTTCGATTATAATCGATGATCCTTTTAATAAACATAATTGATGATGTGATGATAATGATTTTATTATTATTGTTGAAGTTATTTACAAAAGGAAAAAAAATCAAAATGTAATTTTTAGTAAGAGAAAATCATAAATGATAGAGAAAAAATTATATTAATAAATATTACTATTTCTATTATAATCTATTTAACGGTCTTTAGAGAAATTTACAAATTAGAAATGAAAGAGAAAAAACAATAAAAAGAATCGATTCTTCATATTATTAAATTAAGATATAAAAGAATTAATACCATGCCCCAAAATAATAGAGGTCTTTTCATCCTTCTTGCCCTCCCTATATTTTTCCCACATATTCATCCTAAATTTCCTGCATATATCTAAGACCCTTTCCATGGAAAGATAATCAGGAAAAATGACATCAAGAAACGGAAGGGTTGGGTTGGATGATGATGACGATAACGATAATGATAATAATATTAAAATTAATATTATCAGGAGTTATTAATATACAAAACTCTGTACATTGTAATTGTAATAATCGACTCATTCGTTCCTTCATTTTTCTACTTTACTTGAAGCGAACAGCGATGTTTCTTTGGGGATATTGAAATATGTATGACGATGAACAAAAAGAGCGGAGGATCGCGTATGTATAAAAAATATTATAACAGAAATCGAAAGAAAAGGGGGGCGCGAGAGATCTCGAGAGTGAATATAGATATAGAAATGTTTCTTTTATATGTTAAATAATATTGATTAAGAGAAAAACGCGATATCAAAAAATCACACATATAAAAGATTCCCGAAGGTTCAAATGCTTCAATCACGAAAGAAAACAACAAAAACTAATTCGTGACATCTCATTTGAATAATAATATTGGGTATCAACAATGTACTATCATAATCTCGTACACCGAAGACAAACGACATATCTGACAGACAGACAGACAGATAGATAGACAGACAATTAGATATGTTGACTCTCACCGTTAGAGTCACTACACGATTGTCTTCGTCGTTGTCGTTGTTTTTGGTCTTTGTCGTTGTCAATCTCATCGGCTGAATGCCCATTTTCAGAGTCTGATGCTTTTGCCATCACTCTCATTTTCTCCATTTCACGACGTAAATCACATCGAAGTTGTAACAGTTCGGAGTATTCTTTAAAATTGAGACGTGCTGGTTCCATTGATGTTCGATCATACTCATCATTACACCATGTTTCATGCACGACCAAGAATCTCGAGAATTGCACGGATTTACGATTACTCGAGTGATGATCGGAATCCTCGTCGTCACTATGGTTATGATGTCTATGCAATGATGGTGAAGTTACTACAGAGAGTGATACACAGGATTGTGTTTGTGGTAGAAAAGAAGATGCTGTTGTTGCGGCCATTTTTATTTTTTGTAGTGTTGGTCGATTTGTAAGTTAAGAGGCACTTATATTGATTTTCTAACAATGGCCAGTGTACACACACACACACACATATATATATATAGATATATAGATATATATATATACAAGTTATGATAGTTTATCTTTGATAAAATAATTGTTTGTTTGCTTTATTCAAATGAATAATAATTCAAACTAATAAATTTTCCGATATACTATATGATAAATTGCCGGTGATTAATTGGAAAATTCAACGGGTTCTTGGATGATCACCGATATATTATTCAACACGCGCTTTTTTGTAGGATGTGTATGCGGTTTTTAATTATGCTCAAACATAATATTAATATATTTATATTTATGTTATGTATAATATGTACAAAGTTGATTGGTTGGTTTACTTGTTGTTGTTACTGCTGCTTTGTCTTGCGAGATGAGTGAAACGTGTATTCTCCTGAAGTAGTTTTTCTTCCTCGTGAAGTTTTGTGGGATTTAAAGAGAAAACAAGAAACTGACGAGAGCAAATTGTTTAACACTATTTATATCTTTTATTATGTATATCCACAATAACTAAATATTATTTTGTATATTTTGTGTGTGTGTCTGGTGGTGGTGGTGTTATATGAACAGGTGTTATATGACAGGTGTTATATGAACAGGTGTTTATTGAAAGGGTAAGATAGTTTAGTGACTATTTTTTTGTTTATATTTCTGTTCGAGATAAATGCATAATAGTAGTGGATTACTGATATTTCGCTAGCTAAGTAATGACTATCACAGTTTGGTTCCAATTTCTTTTTTGACTTTCGAGTTCTTCCAAGTTCTCCGGTTGATGTCCCTTTTTTATTGGCGAACAATCTCTAATTACGGAATTAAAATGTAATTTTTAATTATAAATAATTAGAAAAAAATAGCGGGTAGTAAGTATTAAGCAAATAAGCGCAAGGACAAGAGAAACAAAAATGAAAAAATAAGAGAATAAAAACACTCCACTAATAATTAAAGCGAGAGCGAGCGGAGAAAAAAGCGAGTTTCGGCTGTCCAATTTATATCAATTTTTTTATGTCTATTATTATTATTATTTATTTGTGATATGTGCCAAATATATGTTGTAATATAGTAACCATTCTTTATGAATCACAGAACATTATGCCTTATTTTAAATAAATATTTTTAATTTGAATAAATAAATAAATAATTATTGATAATTCATGTGTGTATGTATCTCGACTGCCTTTTTTTATCCTCTTTTCCATTCAGAACAGAGTAATCATCGTCAAACATCAATTAGCATCATCTTTAAGGTCTTTGTGTATTCGTGTGATTTGTGTGTTTGTATTTATTTATGTATCTCTTATTCGTATACATGTATATTACTGTATTTGTATTTATAGATTTAGGGTGCTTTCGGAATTGAGCCAATGATTTAGGGACCTACAAAACTCCATTTACAATGACGATTGTGGTTTTGAGAACGTCACTTGTCTTTCTTCATTCTAATATATACAATGAATGAGGTTGTCGAATTAAACCCGCATCCCACGCTTGGTCGAGAAAAAACGTGTTTTTAAGGACCAAAATAACCAAATTCCTTTTTTGTATTTTTGAATAGAATTTTAACGTAGTTATCGATAGTATGACATCCCACGAAATTTGGGCACAGGGGTGATGATGGTTCACTCCAGCCGTCTCCATATTATGACGTTTATTCCAAATATTGATTGAATTCGTTTTAATTTCATCCACTTTTTGGAATGATGAAAAATGATCCTCGATAAATCAACAGATAAATTGGTGATAGTTTACCACCACCGTAATTCTTCCACCTGCCTATAGATAGAGCGCCAGTGGGATATTCTCACAGGCCTTGCCTAATGAAGTCAATGGTTTGCCAAGTCAACCCATCTGTGCGTGTAATTCTTCCAATTACACCGAATTATTAAATACATTCACGCACGTAATTTATGTAATTTATCGATTGATAGATATACATGTAAATCGTTATCTCTTGTAAAGATCTTTCCGTAAGTACCCAGGACGAATCGGGTATCTGCACATAGTTGATTTTATTTGGCACGATTTAACCATAAAGCAGAATCTATAGTAATAACCAACGCTAACTAAAATTTCTTCATAATTGTAATTGTAAGCATAATAAATATTATGACTTTTCTCGGCTTATCTTTCTATTATCATTACTGTCATTAGATCATAAACAACTAATTAAAGGAATTTTAATTATGTATAATCACCTACATTACGAAAATTATAATAACCATAATATTTATTGTTATCAGTATACTTAATTCCCAATAATTAAGTACCGGTACGGTTTACTAACCAAGCACAATTAAATATAAATTAAGAAAACATTACTTATCGTTATTACACTTCTGATCAATTTATTACTTGCATTATTCTATACTTTTATGGATTTGTACAAGTACTATGCGCTCATATATCATTTGTAAAGAAGTAAACAATTAACTACCCAGTATTGTATCGTGGCGTGCAAAGTTCAAACATCACGTACATACACACATCATTATTATGGTGAAATAGGTAAGGTAAGGCGAAGTAAGCGAAGTAAAAATAGGTAATAGGCTGGCAGATTGAATGGTATATAATGATAACAAGGTACGGTAATGCGTATAATTTACCACGGAGTTTTTGATTTGTTTAATTTTTTGATTGATGCATAAACTCCAAATGTCGATTTTAAATCGACATAATGCTCTATATCCATTTTCAAAAAGACGATAAAAATATTTCTCAAACAAATAGATATTTCAAACAAAATAATTCGTTTGTTAGTGCAAGGCATTGTACCTTGAATAAAAATAACTTTGAAACATCCTGCATGCATTATTACGTTTACTCGATTCATCCATTTATTACCATCTCTTGCTGAAAACAACATATACATGTATCGATATGTAGTCTGCCGTAGCCTGAAATAATGATGAGTACTTTTCTTCCGGATATAACGATAGCAAGAACAAAGATGCTTGCTGCTTTACCTTTCTCGCACACTCGTACATGTATACGGAAAGATTTTTTATGAATAACAATCTGATTTTACGTGGTAATCTCATTAAATCAATGAATGGTAGGCTGAGTTCATTTCTTTTCATTCTGATTACCATTATCATTGCGTGTATGGCATCTTGCATTTGATTGCATTGCCTCTGTTCATCACCTGTAACGGTTGATCGAGAGAGTGCAGCGAGCTTAATAGTTTCGACATCGATTTCTTGACTCTATTCGAAATTGGATTTTAAGTATATTCTACATATACAACATATGTTTGCGAAAGAGTTTTACTGATCTTGTGATTACGATATGATGCAATTTCACTCCTTTTCTTTTTACGATAATTATCAAATTAAAGTGGCAGTAACTATAATAATGTACATCTGATTCCTTCCTTATCCCGTCTCCTAAAAAAAATGTGAATTTCAAACGCACATTATTGCAGCTGTTAAGACGATGCCAACCGACTACCATCATTGCTATTTTTATATATACACGTATATATATTTCGGAATCTCGGGTGCAACGTGTACAAGTAATGTGTTACTATTGTTAGTACACAGTGATATTGAATGGGAGGAAGGAATGTCCCCATTCTCCTGTTTAAAAATGAATCCTGAATTGATGTGATTCTCGTGATCTTTAGCAATCGGTACAATTCCTCGCTAATGACAACCCAATTTTTAATTCAAAAATTTATGTTATACATCCATAAACCAAAAAATCGAATATTACCGTATCCCCCTCTTGTAAAAATTTGAACCACGATTCAGTAAATTACAAAATGTTTATTATGAATAATACAAATGATAAACAATTATATTAAAAAAATAGTCAAGAGAAAAGCAAAAAAGTCGTCAATGAATTAAATGAGCATTGGTTTAAAAGTATAAAGTTAAACCTTTTGAAATATTAGCTAGATTTCAATGATACAGACAAAATGGTTTACTTATGGAAATTAATTAATTGAAAAATTTGTCATTCAGGAAAAAGAAAAATTGAGACAGAATTCAACAACTTATTTTAGAAAA